CCTGAATTATGCCCTGCGGATTCGTTCGGAAACTGATCTGGATGTTGCAATCCATGAGACCCGGTAATTGTTGCGCAGGGACAGCAGATGGGGTCCAGTGGGTTTGCCTCATTCGTTTTTTGGGTGGGAAACCGCCCTAGGGTTACCTCAAAGGGATATCGGATTGGGGGGGGGGGGGGGGGTAGACTCCAAGAAAGAGTGGGGGAGAGTAAGCGAGTGAGGGGTGTTCGTTGCAGATACCAGCATCGCCCTTAAAGTAGAGAGAGCCACAACAAAGAAGGACCAAAGTGCCTTCCCCATCTTTATCAAAAGGATCATGAGCCACAATCAAATCGGTCGGCTGGATGAAGGGCAGGCAGTTGGAATCCCAACCAGAGATAGGTGCGGCCGCCCGTTTGCTTCTTAGATTCTTTGCGTAGATTTTGGATAGACCACTTTAGTATACACCTCACAATGGAGTGGGTGAAGGTTGCGCAATCCCCTCCTGTTGGTTTGATCGTTCTCTAAGTCGACGACAATTGTTAGATCTACGTTCATCCTGGTGTGTGTTCCTTCAAAAGGCCGGTTCCCAAATACTTGGCGCGGATGGTCATCAACCACTTGATAAGGGTGTTCAACAACCATTCTAAGTATTCCATCTATGAGTGTCTGAACAAACGATCTTGCGCGCTCTTAGCTTTTTAGGTCGTTGGGTTCTCCTGTTGTTTGGCAAGACCATTTCATTGGCGACAAGTTTGGTTTTGGCCAATCTCAAGCAGCGGGGCCTTTCAGTCATTTCTTTCTCCTCGGAGGCCCGACACGTCCCAGTAATGTCAACGCCTTTCCGCGTCGCACAAGCTGGGGCAGCTTTTTGCCATAGCTTGCCTTTTGCTGAGGATCTTCCATCGGCCTTGAAGGCTTTCAACGCCTCAAGCTTGAAGTTTCTTTTTCCCCCAGTAGTGCCCTTTTACCCTTTTTTGAGTAGGGTTCTCCTGCTGTACCCTTATTCTAACCTCTGGAGGACCTAGGTTTGTTCCTTTTTGAGCCTAGTTGTTCGCTGCGGAGGGCAGCTTGCGCCAACACATTCATCCACGGTTCCACGACCAACCACGACCAGCACTCCAGGTCCGACTTCGCTTTTTTTAGCACGCGTGCTGCCACGGAGAAGCATTCTGCCGAACCGCGCTGAGTGAATCTTCGCGTATGATCAAAAAACCTCCCCCTGAATGAAGTTTTCTTGTGGGTCAGCGCTGATTAAACACCCCCCTATATAAAGTTGTGTTGTTTTTCTGCGGGAAATCCAGACACGCTCGCAAAAACACACCAAACAAGACGCACGCACAGGTTCGCCAGCCACTAGCTGGTCTGATTGGTCAGTATCTGCCTTGCCTGCCTCAAACTTTCAGATCTGCAAGAGCTCTACAGTAATGGCCCCTGCCTCCCACCTCCCAGAAAAAATATATAGAAAAGGCCATCCATCTTCAACTCCAATTTGAGAAGCCTGTCTCTGTAAAAAGCGCAAGGTTTGAACGGTATGTCCCTTGAAGCTTGCCCCCTATGATCCTAAACATCTAGATTTTGGAACCCCAGAAAAACCTCAGCCCCCAAGCTGCAAATTCTTTACACACTCTTGTTCAAAAAGTGGCCCCTAATTAATGAGCCCTACAAGGGGGCACTTGGGGACCCCCTAAACAAAGATTCCCGCGTCGCCCGCCAGAACAAAAGACGTCACCAGCAATTCTAAAATCAATTGGATACTCAATCCTGCAAGTCACATCTCAAAAAAGAGGCTCCAGCAACAGTAAAGCTCAACTAAGTGGAAACTCAAAAAACTCAAGTCAAATCTGAAAGGAGGCTCCAGCAATACTAAACCAATTGGCAACTCAAATCCACCAATACTAAACCATTGGAAACCCAAACCCGATCTCAAAAGGAGGCTCCAGCAATACTAAATCAATTGAAACACAACAAATCTGTGAGCAATCTTTGCAATTCCTAATCAAGTTGGGAGAACTATTGGGGGTGGGATGTTGTTTGGGGGGCGGGGCCGGGGGGGGGGGGGGTTATTAGGGCAAGTACCAGTAGCCCTGCGCAGCATCGTAGGTGGGGAGAGGGAGGGCGGAAGAGAGAGAGAGAGAGAGAGACAGTGACAGAGAGAGAGGGAGAGATAGATCAAGAGAGAGAAACAGAGATGGAGCGAGAGGGACACAGAGAGAGAGAGAGAGAGAGTGACAGAGAGATCGAGCGAGAGAAACAGAGATGGAGAGAGAGAGAGAGAGAGACAGACAGACAGAGAGAGAGAGAGAGTGAGAGTGAGAGAGAGAGAGTGAGAGAGAGAGAGAGGGAGGGAGGGAGGGAGGGAGGGAGGGAGGGAGGGAGGGAGTTGAGGGAGGGAGGGAGTTGAGGGAGGGAGGGAGTTGAGGGAGGGAGGGAGTTGAGGGAGGGAGGGAGAGGGAGAAAGAGAGGGAGAGAGAGCCTGCTATTCTTGCACGGTTCGTGGCGACGCTTCTTGGCGACGCTTGTAGCAGAGCTTGCTCCCGGTCAAGGGCTGCCATGATCCCTGACTTTCGCTTGCCCGTGTAGCCTTTGCGCAGTTCGAGCATGCTGTAGCTCGCGCACGTTCTTTTGCGCACGTGCTGTCGCGCGGCAGACAGCGACCTCAGCTTTCAGGGTTAAGATGTTCAAGAACCACGCTGTTCGTGGAAGATGCCTCTTTTTCTCATCACGAGTTGACATCATGCCCAGAAACAAGGGGGTATTGAGTGTAGGAGGTGGTCTGAGCCATGCGGAGCCGCCTAGGCGATTACACGCGGACAGACAGTGGTGGATGCGCTCTCAGAGGGTTGCAGAGCTGCTCCCCGAGATAAACCTGAACGGGCTCCAGGGAAGTGCCACAGAGCGCAAAATGTGTTCTACACGTTTTGGGTGCCCAAACTGGGATTGAAAAGGCATGCCTGGTTTTCCGGATGAGTCCGCACTTCTTTCTCCTTCTTGGGGTTCCTGCAACTTCCCTTTCAAACCGCAAGCAGCTTTCAATTTCAGCAGGCAGTGTGTGTGTGTGTATATCTACCCCTCATATCCCTCTTTCAACCAGCAACCGGCTCACACACACACACACACACTTGGGAATTATGCAGCTAGCTGTTGCAGGATTTTGCCACCCCTTTTTCCAGACGACCCAAAACCATGGCAAAAGGAACATGGGTCAGGGCCCCCTTTTTTGTCCATGACGGATTAAAACATCACGTCTTTTGGGTGCAGTTAAAGTGAGTTTCCTTTTGGCGAAGTGGTGGTTTCCATGGGGACCTGTGCGCGAAGGATTGGGGCACCTGCTTTGACGGCGTCCACCGGCTGAAGCATGTGCGCTGGGTCGATGAGGTGCGTGGAGTTGCCCAATCGAATGGCCTGCGGATGTTTAAAGTACCCAGACTCCCAGTCGTGCATTTTCCTTTTTGGCACGGAGGTTCCATTGAAACCAACCAACAAAAAGTGTGCTTCTTTCTCATGGCCATCGGGGGTCTGGGAATATGCAACCCCAGTTCAATTGCTTAGTCTTTTCCACCCTTTCCTTTGGGGAAGCGTTGCTCTTCAAACTCAAGCAACAGACAAGTGCCCCGTTTTGCAGCCGCAAAGATGTCTGCAGCAAGTAGAGGAACATGGATTCCTGCAAATAGCAGCAATTCACAGATGTGGTGGGGTAAAACTCACGTGCAAGAATACTTAGGGCATCCACCATACCAGTGGAAAACTGGGCTTGGGCTTTAGGCTTTTGGGTGGAAACCACTTTCTGTTGCCAGAGGAATCCTCTCAAGAGTGACAAAGTAGTCACAGGGACGGAATCCAACTTTGTCGCAGAAATGGCTTCAGTCAAGCTGTTTATGGCAAGCGCAAGTAGAGAGCTCAGGTTCTTGTCTTGGGTTTTACTTCAGATTTAACGTGGAATAGACATATCAGGTTATCATGTTTCAAATATGTGAAGCGGCAAAGAAGCACAATAATGTGGTAAAATGCAAGTCATGTCAAAACGGCACAATCTGCACATCTGTTCCGCACTGATCTTGACGGCCGACCGCACTGAATTTCTTTGGGGCTGGCTCTCATATCCCAAGACCTCAGCGATTTTCCGGAAGGCTGCAACTTTGGTACTTGGCCCGCCTCAGAAAACCCACCGGGCTGACTTGGGAGTAGGTAATATCAGTCCCAGCGCATCCACAGCGTCAAGTGACGCCTTCAGCTGGTCGTTTGGATTGGTTCGGAGATTTGAGCCCCTGGAGGGCCAATAGCAGCCAAACCACCCCTGAGGGAAGCTGAAGTGGAGGTAGCCAGTTTCTTCGGGTGTTGGGCATGGCCCTTGCTCCACCCCGACTTCGAACCCAACCATGTCGAGTTGCTTGTGTTGCAGGGATCTGGGGTGGACTTAGGATACATTTGACATTTTACCAGTGACTCCACGTGAAGCAAAAAGTAGAATATACATTCTATAACTGGGCCCAACTCTAAGCATGGGATTTCTCCGGGGAGTTTGAAAAGCTGACCAACGCCCAAGAGTAGTTGGGTTTGGTTCTTTGCCTCCCCTTTTCCAGGGGTGTCATGAAAGATGACCTCCAGTTTCAAGTCCCAAACAGAGGTCACTGAGTCACTGGCCGTGAAAGACCAGCGGGCCAATTTCCGGGTTGGATTCCCAGCATTGATAGCCCCTGCTTGATTGTGATACCCTATTTGTTGATGTGTTTGTTCCCTTCGGGAAAAGGGAAAGCCGAAGCCATCTTCCACGTGTAGGCAGGGACCCTGTTCGACAGGACCATTGCTGGTGCCGGCCTGCAAGCCTCCGCATCGATCTTTTGCTCAAGCGGATGCCAGACATGGAGCATGGCCGAGCCACTCTTCTTAGACTTGGCTGCGAAAGGCTGCCAGTCACGTTCCTTGTGAAGCAAGCAATCAGACGCGATGACCACACCTGCAGTAGAAGCAAGGTTGGGCCCCTGCCATGGACCCCCATTGGAGCACACCGGAGTGTGTCAACGCCAACCTCTGAAAAGCTTTTCAACCCATCCGCAAGCTCCCCAAGTGGCCTATGGCTGACCTCACCTGAGGCGGGGCATCCAGGTGATTTTTGGTGTCCAGGTGCAGGTGGGTTGGGCTTCGGGTAGCTGCGACACCTGGGTGGCTCGAGGTTCGTGTCAGGTGATGTAGGCGCCTCACTTCAGCGAGCTCTCCTAATTTTCCTTCCAGAAAACGGCGGGAGGGGGGGGGCGAGGGGGCCGAGGGCGGGGGGCGTGTCGCCCTTTCCCGTCAGACTCAGCCAAACAAGTCTTCAAGGTGGCCTTCTGGGCCTGGGAAGAGACAGGACCTCTTGGACGATCCAAGCAACGCATCAACTCACTCGCTCGAAAAGATGGCCAGTTGAAAAGAGGTCCCATGGTTGTTGTTGGGAAACATTTTACATTTTTGCTTATTGTGGTTTAGTGGGAAATCCCCACTTAACTGCTAAAGTTTAAATTGTTGCTCCCCTTCCAACGTCAACCAAGGAGTCCAGGTCAACCTGTTTCTATTTTCTTCCAAGACGTTTGCGGATGCGATGAAGGCGGGCTCGAATTCACGGGTTGCGATTGCTTGAGGGCAAGCGTGTAGCATCCCAGAACCCATTCAGAAATCATTCAACGGCTCATCCAATTCGGGAAATGCTTTGCAGAAGCCATGACTTATCTGGCCGCAAGGCGTCATTGAGGGGTCGATCGGCTACGGAAGTGCCACTTCAGGGCGGAGTCGGAAGCCAGCGAATTGCAACCTGGGGTCCATGCAAGTGACCCACCAGGGGCAGCGACCAGGGGCAGTGACCCACCAGGGGCAATGAGCCACCAGGGGCAGGGAGTGTGCAAGTGTTGGGCCTCCTTGAGGTGGTGTACATGTTGCACAGCGCGTCGCTCTTCCTGGAACTGCAGCTGTGAGGTGTCTTTGGGCTGTGAGGTTTCTAAAGACAATGAACTCAGACCTAGTTGCCGATGTCGGTAGTCTTTCCTGTTGAGCGGGGTGTTGGGAAATCTGTTCGACATGTTGCTGTCGTTTGCGGTAAGTGGGAACCAAGAAGTATACGGCTGTGGGGTCAAAAATAGGTACCCAAAATGGAACCCTGGTAATGGAAGCTTGGACTACAATCTGCGGTCCCCCAGTGGCTTGATTTTGACCCACAGCAATACCTGGAAGCAGAGGCGAACAGGCAACCCTTAGTTGGCGGGTGGCATTGGCGGTTTGGGGGTTTGCAGCCCTTCTTGCAGAGGGTACATTGGTTTCCCCAACAACACCTCCAGATCGCTAATCCAAGCCACCAATTGCATGGAACCCAGAGGGTCCCTTGGCACCTTCTAAGGAGGTACTTGGACCCCTTTCTACCCCCCAAAAGCCATCCTCATGAGGTACCCAGGGACCATCTGGGGCAGCTGAGGTGATGTTCATGTTCCGACTTTGCAACCAGAACCCCGGTGCCTCTTTCCCGCTAGGCAATGTGGAGCTTGCCGCGTCCTCGGGTGCATTGGTTTCACTTCAAGCACAAGGGTTCCGGGACGAGAGAACTGGCACTACTTAAAGGGGCGAGAGAACTGGCACTTAGTATGCGGTTAGTAATCATCTCGGCTGTTCAAAGGTAATCCTCAATCCTCCTTTTCGGTTGCGCCCTCGGGGTCCCTTTCATAGTGGTTTCCCTATGAGGATTATGGATTAGGATTGGCCAACCCTCCATTTTGAACAGCCCAGATCATGGTTGTAACCCACTTACCATGGTCATAAGTCTCCGTTCAGTGGGTTATAGCCATGGTTACCAACCACTTACCAAGTGCCCGATTGCCCCTTTAAGTAGACAACTAGTATATCAGAACTTGCGCCAGAGAACCACATCAGAAAGAACACAGCAGTTGCACTGGCAGAGACCTCCAAAGGGCTTTTCCGCCTTCCCACTTGGCGGGTTGAAGAGACTCTTCCGAATGGGTCGATGTGTTTTGAGGATACTCATTTCGGGGCCGGTTTGGGAAACCAGAGGGAAAAGACACCATGGCTTGGACGCCCCAAAGTCATCTAACCCAAAAGAGGTGTCCGTTCCCCACCTGAACTCCACAAGTCGCTTTTTTTGTTTTTTCTTCTTTTTTTCTCGGGCTTGTTTTCAGTATCTCGATCGGAAAACAAGGCAGCAGCTGTGTTCCAGAAGTTGGCCTCCTGGCGGCTTTGGCGCCCGGCTGAAGGTGTCTATACACCTGCACCAACGCTCACGCAGCTCAGGATGCAACGATTTGGCGCGGAGCTATTTGGGATCGCCTCTCCTTTCGGGCTGCTTGGGCTTCCGGACAAGGCGTTTGTGCCTGCGCTGGTCGCCACGTGGAAGGTGGAGGAGACCATCACTGCCGCACTGGAGAAGGCCAACATGCAGGCCTCCGATGAGCCTCATCTGGTTTCGATGAGTGTTCTTTACGCACGACTATTGGGAAAGGCCGGCTGGTACATGCGGTCAGAAGGAGCCCTTCGGGCTTCAGGACGGCTTCGAAAAAGGCAAGCCGACCTGTTCAGCGTGTTTCTACCCTTCTCACCTTGGGTTTAACGGGAAACCGCAAGAAAACACCGACATGTTGGTGTCATATGGCCATGATATGGCCATGGGGCATAACCTATGGCTCCATGTTGAGGTAAACGAACATCCATTTGCCACAAATTTTGATGTTTACCAGGGGTACAGGGTATTGACCCACAGCCATATTTAGACACCCAGCGTCAACCAACTTGTGGCGATCTGGGCGAATGGGGCAAAGCCTTCAAGCCAGGCATCACCATGGCAAACTCCACACGTTTTGCGAGTTCCCGGGCTGGACCCTTCGGTGGTGAGCAACAAGTGGGTGTGTCCTTTTTTTTTTTTTTTGGGGGGGGGGGGTTCAAGGGAAGCCAAAAGGAAAACCACCATTTTATACACTTCCATTTGCTTAAGAATATGTTTTCATTTTCCCCTGTTGGTTTTAAATGGAATCTATCACTACTGGAAACATGTTTTTATATTTTTGCCAGAGGTCTTAAGAATGGAGGTACACTTTTCAAGTTGATTCGGAAACTCCCAGATGAACCTGTGCAAGCGAGTGAGCCATGAGTAGAGGAATCTCCCTGTTTTGGGTTCCATGTGATGGGCTCAAAATGAGATCGGGGGAACCGTAGAGTCTTATCCATCTACCAAGGTGCCGTTTTGAGGGGTTGTGCCATTTTGAGGGGTTGTGCCATTTTTGAGCCACAGCCAGGTTACCAAGGTGCCATTTTTCTACTGGTTGATTCCCCATTCTTTTCAACCATCGTTCTTTTTAAACGCCGATCGCGGTTTCCCCAAATTTTGGGTGGTTTTGTAGAAAGACCGATGCCTGGAAGAATGGTTGGAAGGTACCCCTGAAAGTGACACGTTGAGGGGTTGTGCCATGTAGAGGGGTTTTATTTTTTGAGCCACAGCCAGGTTACCAAGGTGCCATTTTAAGGGATTCGTTTTTGAGAGGCAAATCACATGAACTCATGTGCAAAAATCCAGGACCCAGGACGTACTCTGCGGGTAGTTTTTGAGCCACGGCCATGTTATCTCAGCGTTCCGATGCCCGATTTCTCGTCGAAGGGTCGGCCCTGTGCTCAGGCTGGCCTTAGCTTGGGCTTGGGCCGAAGGGGCAGTGCCGGATGTGCTCTGGAAGGAGCCCCGGGGTGTGACGGGTGGAAACGGCTGTGGTTGAATGGCTGTGGTTGTCAACACCGTTTTGGGATCCCATTTTGGTTGGTAGGTGAATTCATCACCCATTTGAGAACCTATTTTAGTGGTTGGATTGGGATGTGCATTGGCACGGGAAGGCTTTGGTCCTCGAGGAAAGCACCAGTGGGATGGTTAGTTTATAAGATTTATGAGGGTCATTCCAATTCTCATGCCCTGAGCACCAGCAAGCTTGGGTGGCTTGATAGGGGAAAACAAAAAGGAGCAATAATTTGGAGGACTTTGAGACACCAACTCACTTTGGTTGTTGGATTTCGGACAAAATCGCGCCAGGTGTCAGTTGGTAAGTTCTTCTTGTCAACCATTCATGGGCTGTATCCATCTCAACAAGCGTTGTGTCCATCCAGCTTTGTCTATTGGCAAACGACAAGTTTGTCATTGTTTGATTGCCAATCCACACAAATCGAGGAGTGGGTTTTGTAGGGCCAGTGGGTAATACCATTCGGGACCATGTCAAGCGTTTCGCTGCCATTAAACCACTATAAACAGTTAAAACAAACGACTTTTAGCAGGGGAGCAGATTTCGCAACCGAGTTTTGTGGCCACGTGCTTGCGCAAGGTGGATTGCTTGCAGGTGAAGCGGGCGCAGCTACGGTCCTTTCGTCGTTTTTCTGCTGAATTGCTCGGTGCTTCGAAGCCACAGGGGTTCGTCCTTTCCAGAAATGGACGGACGAGAGAAACGGACCCTGCGTGGGTTCCAGAGATGTTGGCTCTGGGGGTATGGACATCTTCGATCATTCATCTAGCTGCACGACCGAAACCACCTGGGTTTATGGACAGAACGATGGGTGAAGAGAATGAGAACCTGTAGAATAAAGGTAAATGGAATCGCTGGGCATGTTCCTACGGGAAGTCTTAGGTCAGGACCCCACGCCAACTTCACCTAAGCATGTTGAGTCGCTTGTGCGTGTTGGCAGGGATCCGAGTCTTCAAAAGATGATCAACGAAGGATAGACCGTTGGCCAGGGTTCCGTTTTTGGACTACCCCAAGGTAGACTAGATCCCCCAGTAGTGCCCTTTCTCACCCCTTTTCTTGGGGGGAGTGTTCCCCTACTAAAATAGACTGCAGAAAATAAGGGTACCCTTATTCTAACCTCTCTACCGGAGGACCTAGTAGACTTAAGCCCAGACCTTTCCCTGTTTGGGGAAATCAAACTCTCTGGGTTTAAGTCCATTTTTGGCTTGTCAAAAAATGGAACCCCGACGTTGTGTTTCCCCTCGGCCAAAGCCTTGCAGTCATTTGCCCCAGGATTTGCTCCGCCCCAAAGACACAAAGCCCACAGGGGCCGTTCTGGAACGAAGCATCCCTTGGAAAGGATGGGGATAGCATAGCCAGAGCTCATGGATTGTTTTTGGTTCTTATTGGCTTTACTCTGCAACCGCGAATATGGAACGGAACCCTTAGAGGGTCTTTGCAAGAGGAAGATTGTCTAGGATGGAACGGATGGTTTCTTGAAGAGGACGGGTGCAGAGTGTCGGGCAGATTTTCCGTTGCTTCTCCTGTTGATTCCTGGTTTCCTTTGGTTAGGTTTCTTTTGGTAGGCAATTGATCGACGGCTTTCTTGGGAGTGCCAGCGTACCCGGATTTCGGAGCAACGCTGACCACCAAGCACACAAGGAGCTGTCCAGGTTCCCTTGGTTTGGACGGCGAAGACAGAGAAGCATGTGATCCTATAAATCTAGCGCATGGAAGCGTTCGTTATCGTGCTCTGAATGATTCTTCACGAGGGCGCACTCAAGAAGTCAACCAACTTCACCTCACCATTTCAGCTTCAATCTTGTTCTAAGGGTTGATTCCCTATTTTCTTCGCCCATCGTCTCTCTAGAAACCGCACATGTCCCTAGGGCGGAAAGGTAGGGCTAGATCTGTTCATGTGTTGACTATTTTCAGTAGTTAGAAAGCAGGTTTATATTTGAAAGTATTTCAAATTGTGCAAACGAAAGTGGTACGATGGATGTTCTAAATAAGTATGCAAGCAGGGGAACCAAGAAACAGTTCTCTAATTTAAGCGGTGTTTTATCCTCCCATCAATTATCATGGAATCTGACACGTGGGGTCCTGGAAGACCATTTTCCTTTCAAAAGGGACCCCCTGGCAGATTCCCTGTTGATTGGTGGGAGGGTACCATGGTTGGGTGAGTGTGGGTACCTGGAGTCTCCATGACCCGAAGTAAAAATAGGTCCATGACCCCATGATTTAGGGTAATGACCAACCATTTTTCAAGGGTAAGAAGGAGACTCCAGGTAGTTGATTTATCGAAAAGTGGCAGTGACACGTAGCTCTGGGCTTCACTGTGTGCCCAGGAGCTCACGGATCACGCGACCGGAAGGCGCGCAAGCAGAGCTCCTGTATGCCATCCTTTTTTCCTTTGGAGGGGGTTCCCGTTATCAACTACCCTCCCACAGACTGAAGAAAGACTGCTTTCCTCTTGGAAATAGGTTTTTTGTGCACTTCCATGCTAGTTGGGAGGGTACCCAAAAAAGGGAGCGCTCCGTTTTTCCCATGGCCACTGGGGGCGGGGGGGGGGGGGGGGTTGGTGGTTGGGTTTGGGGATGCGAAGACCTTGTTGTATTTTTTGTTTAAATGCCCAAAGACCTCCAAACATTCGATCCGCACCAAGTAGAGGGAAGCCGGAAGTTGATTATAATAGTGGCACCCTTTCGTCCTTTTCTTTTGGTGGGTTCTCCACCAAGGGAGTTGGCCAGCCCCTGATGACTAGAAAGTGTCTTTGCAGAATGAGTCACTTCTCCTGTTCTCTATTTGTTTGGGAATGTTCACTATTCCCCTTGTCGTGTTGTGTGTTTCCCAGTAGCTGGGCAGAGGCCCATTCAGCTGGAATTTTGGTGACCTCATTTGCCAAAGCCAATGTGCCCGACTTTTACCCATGAATGTTTCTTCCTTGGGGATTCCTCAGTTCAGCCTTGTGCCAATATATGTTTTCCATGTGCCCGACCCTTGCCTTTTGAGCATATAAGGATGGATTTCGATTCCATTGTCTTCACCCATCGTTCTCAACAGCGAAGCCGCACTAGTTGCCCCCCGTTTCAACACAAGGATCCCAGAGAATGGGAAAGGTACAGCCAGACTGGTCAATCCAAGCCCAAAGCCGTGGCTGAAACCAGGAAGGGTCCCTTGTTTCCCTGGCTCCCCTTGGGCATGGGAGGAACAGCCGCCCAAAAGGTTCAAGAAGGTACATCCTTTTGGTTTGCCAATCGATTCGGTCGAGCACGCCTGACCAATCCAGTCAAAATGGTATATGGATGATTGACAATTCAGCCCTTTACTTGGCAGTTCGGTACGGATGCCCTATTGCGAGGAAGGGGGCAAGGGAACACCTTTTGCCGTAAGTCACCTGGGCTTGACTGTTGCGAGAACATATCCTCGAATGGAATGGATCCATGGCGTTGAAGAAATTTGGGGACTTCAGCCCGATGCTTGGCTTTGGGCTCGACAGGGTCTACTACCTGAACCAGCGGACCGGTGAGACAGTCCGTGCCTTAGATTTGCGACCGCTTGCGCTGAGGACAAAGCCAATGGGATCACATTTTGGGGTAGGTGCACCACCCATTTTAGAACCTATTTTAGTGGGGATTGGGATGTTCACTGGGGGTGCGATTTGGCTTTTGACCCATGGCCAGGAGGGGCCCGAGCACACAACATTGGCCCAGATTGCCCACGTGAAGCCCTGCTTACGCCCTTTATTATGGGTATGGGTCAAAATTAAACCACCAGAAAACCGCAGGTTTTAGTCCATGTCTTTATGTACTAGGATTCCATTTTGGGTACATATGTTTGACCCACGGCCATATGGGCCATATCTATTCATGTGAGCCTGGGTGTCCTTTATGTCTTTGAATGAAACGATGGGTTCCACTGGTTATGGGTTTAAACCCATGGTATCCGGGTCTCACCCATCGATGGGTCCAGGCCGATCGAGTCGCATGTGCCTTTCTTGGCCCATAGTCTACCTAAGAGTCTCCTTCTGACCCGAAATAAAAATGGTTGGTCACCCTAAGTGGTTGGTCATGGACCTATTTTTATTTGAAGGGTCATGGAGGTATGTATCTGGGATTGACACGGGGCAAACAAGAAGCTCACCATGAAGATGGGTTTCGCAGCCGATTTCGGGTCCACTCAGAGTTTTGACTCCTACCTGAAACTGGATCAAAGCCCAGTGATTTTATTTGCCACAGCAGTAAACCAGCCCTTGAAATGCCAAAAAGAAATGGCTAGTTCACTATCGCAGTAGCTGGCATCATCCACCGTGAAGGTGACCAATTCGAGAAGGTGACCAACTCTTAATGTTCGAAACGAAACGATATTGGCCAGCCAAGTCAGTTGTAGCTCCGTCCGTGGGCAAATGATCCATTTTTGAAGAACCCCTTCTTTGAGATGCTGCGTACTGTATATCACCAATGCAGACACCTCACATCTGCAACGGTGGGCGCGACGTATTCCACCGTTCATTCGCTAGGTAGTGCCGGAGCATCCGCAAAGCTGGGCAATCCTGAATCCTTCTCTCGGGTCTCTGCAAGGTGGGTTGTGCACCCTGTAAATCGGTGTTGAGGCAGAAAGTTTTATCACACTGGCCCCATCATTTCACCACCAATGTCAGCCCCTAAGTGGTAGGTTAAAGCAAACCATCCCAGTTTTTTTCTGGCTTAGGAATCGTCAATGCCCAGTCAGACCGCGGAAGCTGTTGGGAGAGGGCTGAACGGCGTCGAGTCTATTCTGCGTGGCCCAAGGGGGGCGGGCGGAACCAAGTTTGGAGACAAACCCAGGGATTGGGTCCAATGCAGCTAACATCTTACCCTCCATTTACTCAACATACTTGTCCCCTGGTTTGAAAGGGAATTGTTCACTGGATTGTTGTGCTTTCCTTTTCTACCCAAAGGCTCACGACTACTGCCCGGGCCTTTAAAATTAACCCAGAGGGTCCCTTGGTACCTTCTAAGGAGGTACTGAAGGCATGTCGGTGTTTTCTTCTGGTTTCCCGTTAATTCCCAAGGTGAGAAGGGTAGAAACACTGCCACTTTTGTGAACTGAAGGGAAACACTGCCAGGGGACTTAAGCAAATGAACCTGACTCGGGAAGGGAAACCTCAAGGAAACCAGTGGCTTGATTTGGGTGTGAGCAAGTGAGCAACTCATGGACGCACCGTTTCTGGTTTCGATTTCGGGTAAGATGACGCCTGGTTCCGGGGAGTTCGTCTCGCGAGACAGGAGTTCGTCTCGCGAGACAACTCCCCAGCGATCCGCGATCCGCGGTCCGCGATCCGAGTCCTGGCGCCCGCCGGCGTGGGCGCTGCCGGTGGTGCATGGCTCCTGCGAGAGCGCTGGGAACCCGAGCCGAGAGGAAGGCGGAAGCGCACGCGGTGTGGGCGTTCCAGGAAGATATGGCGTGGTTCTTGAGGGTATACCTGGAGTCTCCATGACCCTGTAAAATAGGTCCATGACCCCATTATTTAGGGTAATGACTCATTTTTAAAAGGTCATGGAGAATCTAGGTACCCTTTTTTAGTGTGATTTGCAGGACACCCAAAAGAGCAACCACAATTGTGAGGGTCCCCTTCGTGTGTGTGTGTCTGTGTGTCTGGGTCTCTGCGTGTCTGCGTGTCTGCGTGTCTGCGTGTCTGTGTGTCTGTGTGTCTGTGTGTCTGTGTGTCTGGGTGTCTGCGTGTCTGGGTGTCTGGGTGTCTGCGTGTCTGCGTGTCTGCGTGTCTGTGTGTCTGGGTGTCTGGGTGTCTGCGTGTCTGCGTGTCTGTGTGTCTGTGTGTCTGTGTGTCTGTGTGTCTGCGTGTCTGCGTGTCTGTGTGTCTGTGTGTCTGTGTGTCTGTGTGTCTGTCTGTCTGTGTGTCTGTGTGTCTGTGTGTCTGCGTGTCTGCGTGTCTGTGTGTCCGTGTGTCCGTGTGTCTGTGTGTCTGTGGGTCTGTGCGTCTGTGCGTCTGTGTGTTTGTGTGTCTGTGTGTCTGTTTGTCTGTGTGTCTGTGTGTCTGTGTGTCTGTGTGTCTGTGTGTCTGTGTGTCTGTGTGTTTGTCTGTCTGTGTGTCTGTGTGTCTGTGTGTCTGTGTGTCTGTGTGGCTGTGTGTATGTGCGTTGGACGGCCTTTTGGGGACTCCATTTTCCCTGGACTGTGGGTGATCAAGGGAATCGCCCTTTGAACAAATTGCAGGACAATGGTGAAGAGTTATGTACTATAGCAGCTTGCTTTGGGATGCACCTGGGTCCACTGGGACCGAAAGGCTGTTCTATTTTATCAACAAGCTGTCATGTTGGGAATTTCCTGCCTCTAAATAGCCCCCTCAATCCTTTTAGAGCCTTGCAAGGGTAGCTTGGGGAGAGCCATCCGAGGCTCGCAGAAGCTCGGGGCTAGGAGGATCACTCGAGGCAGCTGTTGAATCGTTATCGCTTGGCCCAGATGTAGAGTCCCCACGATGTTCCCCGTCCTCCCTCCCCTTTCACATTGATTTTGGTCGTTTGTGGGTAGGCTTGACGGACCACATGACATGTGTTCACACAAGCCTGCACTTGGGCCCATTTTGGCTCAAGTGCTGGCAACCATTCTGGTTCCTCAATTTGAAAACTTTCCCTCTCTCTCTCCTTTGTAAGCCATGGCCCTCAGCAGTGCCCCTGTGTACGCTGGCGACATCTCCAAGGCGGCGCTTGCCAAGGCCAAGCCGGACAGTGCTAAGGCCAAGGATGCTATGCACAAGTTCTTGGAGAAGGCCGTGCAGAAGGACGAGGAGGGCTGGCGCCTGCTCAACCGGATGCCAGCGAGTTCCTGCGCTACCCCGCCATCGAGTGATGCGGAACAGGAACAGGCGCCCATTGCCCCTCAGATGAAGAAGCAAAAGACGGAGGGTGACGACGATATGGCGGCGGCGCAGGAAGAGTCGGAGACCACCGGCATGGAGGTTGACAGCGGGGCCTTGTCACCCCGGGTGCCGTTGGCCCCGAGCGGGGACGAGGCCCCGATCGACGCCGCGGACCTCACGGAGTCTATGGAGCTGGTGGAGGACCCCTCTGCCCCCCGGGCGCCGCTGGCCGCTCCTGTGGGCGTGCTCACGGCGGCGGTGGAGATCGCCAAGCAGGTGGTCGAGGATTTGCCGGAGGCCGTGAAGCCCGAGCTGGTGTCTGAGTCCTCGGAGGAAATTGAGGACACCGACTCTGACAGCAAACCCCCCGCCTTCATTCGGGTGGACGACGGGCTTTGGCGGATCCCCCACAAGGACCTGGGGTTTGAGCTGCCGCCCTTCGCGGACCGTACCAAGCAGCAGCTGCGCCAGATCCCCCGACCGCCTGCTGGCGGGCTTCAAGCCTGCCACCTTGACTGCTGGTGGACTGGAACGTGTGGTGGAGGCGTACTACCTGGCCAGGAAGAAGCACGAGCACCTGGCCATGCTGCGGCAGCCGGCCCAGAAGCCGGGGGGCAGGGCCGGGCTTGGCTCCAGCACCCTCAAGGCTCGGCCGGCGGGGGCGGACCCCGAGCTGTTCTGCACCTCCTGCCAGAACCCGTGGGGGACCTCCAAGACCAAGTGCCTGCTTTGTGGCAAGTCGGGCGCCCCGGTTCTTTTGGAGGAGATGACGCACTTGGTCTTGGCGCTTGGATGTGGATGCGAACGGTCTCCCCCGGTGGTCCCTTGCCTCGGGTGCCGTGGGCCCCGACAAGGCGGGGACCACCGATGACAAGCAGGTGGCGGCCGTGGACCTCTGCGGCCTGGCACAGCAGCCCCTGCCCAGTGCCACCCCGGAGGAGGCCTCCTTCGCGGACCAGGTGCCCATGGCCATGAGGGTAGCCCTCAGGGAGCACCTGCCGGACCAGGATTTGGAGTTCATGGAGCAGCACCCGGAGGCGGCCTCGGCAACCCTACCCAGAGCTGCACGGGGTTTCACCCGTTGGCCCTCAAGGCCTTTCGCATACAGACAGAGGTCAGTGACGCTCAGATCGCTAAGCTGCACGCCGCGCGGGAGGAGCAGGAGCGGCAGATCCACAGGAGCCTGGACGTCCTCACTGAGATGCAGGCTGGGGCCCATGAGACCGAGGGCCAGGAGGGCGAGCTCCTGAAGTGCCTGGACCTGGACAGGTTTGAGTCGCTCTTGCGAGAAAAGTTGAGCATTGACTGGGGATCCTCTACGGCCTCCATCGCCCAGGCGCAGACCACCCAGGCCGAGGGCCAGGAGCGCACTCGAATGCTCCGTCCCCTGCTCCGCCTGGCCCATGGCGGTGCGGGACGCCATCGAGCGGAGCGGGGGGTGTTTGAGGCCACGGAGGCCTGGCACGACATCAAGGCCGCTGAGCTGCAGGACTTGATGGACCCCTACATGGAGGCCAAGACGCTCCTCATGGCGGGGAGGAACCCGCCGGCCAAGCTCATGCTGGAGTTGCCGCAGCTGGAGGGGGCTGCCCCGGGTGCCGTGGGCCCCGACCAGGGTAACCCTCCCAGGGCGCAAAGGGGGTTGCCCCGGGTACCGTGGGCCCCGATCAGGGCGCCCCCTCCGCCAAGCTGGACTCCAAGGATCCGGAGGTGCAGCTCGGGGTGCTCAAATGGATGATGACCAAGCATGCGGGCGAGATCAGGATGACTGGCAGTGTGTGGACGCGCCGTATGGGGCCCTTGCACCTGCCTGACTGGGCCAAGCAGCTCAGTGAGCCCGACCTGACCGCCTTGGAGTCCCGCACTCACCCCAGGAACAGCGAGCAGACCCACGTCCCCTTCGTGCGCTACTCGGAGAAGCAGATCTCGGAGCAGCGCAGGGCCAATGACCGGCCCAGCGCCAAGCAGATCCGGGGTGTGTTCTGGGCGCTGCCGAGGGACAGCGAGAAGGATAAGGATGAGGACGGGTGGCACTGGGTGCGCCAGGTGTCCACCTGGGACCTGGCCACCCTCATGCACCGCTTTGGGCACTCCTACACGCTCCGCCAGGTGTACGCCATGTGGAGTTCCCTGCCGCTGCTCATCCCTCCCCACAAGCGAGGGTTCAAGGGCAAGGAGCAGGGCCTTGCCCGGCTGGACGCCTACAACAAGGCGCGGAGCTTCTTGGAGGAGAATGACCTCCCGCTGCCAACCACGGCGGAGGACTGGAAGAAGGTCTACCGCTTGCTCGGGTCGATCTTGGCCGCCCGCGCCTACTTGGCGGGCACCCCGGCGGCGGTGATGTCGCTGCCCATCCAGGAGATGACCGACACGAAGGAGCACATGATCCTCAGGGCGGTGTGTGACGAGAGGATCACTCTCCCCCTGGACAGCCTCCGGGAGTTCTCCAAGGTCCTGGAGGCGCTGCACGCCCAGGTGGGCGACCTGAGTAGGCTGGCGGAGGTGACGGTGTTCTACCGCCTCGGAGCAGTGGTGGGCTGGCGCCTTGCCCCTGGCGGAGGCTGTGGAGGTCTACCGCAAGCTGGGCTACAACCCGGACATGCTGGCGGCGGTGGGCCTGTCCGACCTGGCAGGGGTGGGGGCAGCTGCCGTTGGCGCTGATAACCCCATCACCAAGTACAACGCGACGGGCCCGGTCGGCAAGGACTACCGGAAGAAGCACTTCCCGGGGCAGGCCCACTGCCTTTGGGCCCAGATGGAGTGTGGCCTAGTGCTCCCATCCGTGAGCGCCTGGGAGACGGTGACCAAAGCCAAAGGGGTCACGCGTGGAGGCTACATGTGCAAATACTGCAAAGGGTTCTGGAAGGCCGGGCGGGGAGTCCAGCTCATCCTGGATGAGCCCCCGCAGGGCTTGTACAACAAGTGGATCAAGGAGCGCTTGGAGTTCTACTGCAGGGTGGAGCCGCGGGCCGTCCCCTTGGCCCACCAGCGGGTGCCCCGGATCCGCTTTGGGATCTCCAATCAGACGGGGCCCGTGAGTGACGCCATCTGGGAGATCATCTTGGGCAACAAGGAGATGGAGAATATCGACGGCCTTGCGAAGATCCGACCACGTCGGCACTGGGGGGGACCGGCTGCCGTTGGCGCCGATCGTTCCCCCTGTGCCCGGCTGGGAGGACTTCCATTTTGGATATAGCTCCTTTCCCCGTTTGCCCGGTTCTGGCTCTCTTCTCCTCTTACTACATAATGGATGTTCATATTTTCCTTTGGGAGGAGAGCCAGCTGCCGTGGGCGCTGATAGCTCACTCCCTCAGGCGGTTGAGGAGTGTGGCTGGCGCGACCAGGGGACAGACCCCGCGCTCTGAGGAAACAAGGATTGCTGATGCCGCGGGAGGGGGTTGGCTGGGATTGAACTCCCCCCTGACTCCTGTCTCGGGCCCCTCGGCCGGAACCCTGGGCTCTTTCCCCCTGTTTTCTTTTTCCTTTTGTGTAAACGTTTGGGGTCCCCCCCTGGCCTTGG